TGTCCCTACCATGTTCCCATCCTGACCTGTGTTCCTCCAGGGCTCTGGTAATGTTGATGTTTGAGATGACGTCCCCATATACCAGAAGGAAGTCAGAGCGCACCAAGGCCTTGGCATCAACGTCACGGAGAACATCCCCCAATGATCGATATAGATCTGATGTAATTATTCGAACCACGTTGAGAGATGTAGGGCGGCACCACTTGGATTTCCTAAAGGAAGGCGGGTGATAATAAGGGATTGAGTAAATCAAGCATAAAGATCATATAGAACTTCCCATTTTTCTCCCACAATCAACATTCATACTCCTTCTCTATGGCTTTTTTGAATTCCTGCCAGCGTCCCTCAAATTCAAAGAGCTTTATGAACTTATAATTAATGGTTTCAGCATCCTGTGTTACAAGGCTTGTTTTATGGGCTAGAGAAACATGGTTATTTCCTCTCCATAGCCTAACCCCCATCCTCAAACATGGATTTGAATTCAAATTCCTGCTAAGACTTAGGTTATACAAAGTTTCCTGGGAACACACTTTCTTTATTTTCCCTTTTTAAAAAATATATTTTATTGATTTTTTACAGAGAGGAAGGGAGAGAGATAGAGAGTTAGAAACATCAATGAGAGAGAGTCATCAACCAGCTGCCTCTTGCACATCTCCCACTGGGGATGTGCCAGCAACCAGGTACATGCCCTTGACTGGAATCGAATCCGGGACCCTTCAGTCCGCAGGCCGACGCTCTATCCACTGAGCCAAACCAGTTTTGGCATGGAAATACACTTTCATGCCACTTTTTCCTTTCAAAACCCAGACCAAATTTAGGAACTATCTACTGGAAACTATGCTAATATCCAAGTCTTTATTTCCTAAGCTTCTATAAATCCTGACATTTACTTTTTCAAGATTTCACCAAACATTTGCTAAGTGCTTATTATGTGTTTGGTAGTAAACTAAGTACTGAGAATATTAAGATGAGGAACACCCAGATTTAGTGGCTTACCATAGGAATTACCGCCCTCCCCCCAAAAAAAGAAAGTAAGATAGAAAGAAAGAAAACAAAATGAGGAACAGCTCAATATTTAAAAGCTCAGTGGAAAAACAAACATTTTACTCTTATAACTTCCATATTAGAGCCATTCAATAAAAAGCAAAATCCACTGGGATCAAGCTTTACAAGATTCAGGAAAAACCCAAATGTTATTCTTCAGTTTTTGTCACAGTTTCAGCTGCTCACCTCTGATAAGTGAAGGGAATGCCCTTAGACTTTATGATGGCCTCTACACAGAAACATTTTCCTGCTTATTTATTTATATTTATCCTTAGAAAACTGGACAAAAATGGTGAAACATGGAAAGAAAAGTTGCAGGGTCTTACAGTAAATGTTCCTTGATTTGAGCAGCTTTCCAACAACAAAACACAAAGGTTTCCTGTACACCCGTGGCAGTCAGAAATTCCAAAGTGTAGTCAATCAATGCCACGTTGGCCAGCGGCAAGAGGACCTAGATGGGAAAAAAAAGGTGAAGTCTTAAATCTGGCCCTCTGCGTACCTTTCTTTCCCCCATTACAATTTTCACTCCTATATCAGTGTTTCCAGATGCTACAGTTTTGTTTTATCTTTCAAACTTAAAAGTAATCAGGCCTCTGCCTTTGATGTTCATATGCATGCTCTAAGCATTAGTCTGGTGTTGCAATTTTGATATAGTAAGCATAAAATCTACTTGCTTAGCATCAATCAGACACAGAGCTCTTATACTACCACCTCTGACAAAGGAGACTACTGGAAACCAATGACATCTCCAGATACTTAAGCACTGCTAAGGCCTTTTCTCCATAAAATTTCCTCCTTGATCCCTTTCTAAGAGTCCGGGGTCTAGCCAACCTCAATCACCTGTCCAAAATGAGTCGTCATTACGTTTTTTGCTGGGAGTGTTAAGATTTTCCCTGAACTGAATGCAGTTCCCTCTCTTTGAACTAGGAATGGCTGAGTGACCCAGCAATATCCAGGAATAGCTCATAGCTCAGTCCAACCCTCCCACAGTGTCTAGACCAGGGATTTTCAACCGGCGTGCCACAAGAAATTTTAAAACATGCAAATACCTGGCTAGTTAGTCAGGGGCACTGACCACTTTTCCCTTAGATTGACCAATAAAAATAGACAACAGCCAGCACAATGACAGATATCCGGTGTTAAAGAATCAACATTATACCTTTTTTTTTTTTTTTTTTTTTTTTGTCAAATCAGCAATATATATAATGGGTGCCACGGAATTTTTATAATTAGCTTATGTGTGTCATGAGAGGAAAAAAGGTTGAAAATAGCCGGTCTAGACAACAAGACAGAGGCTGCTGCTGGCAACCAGCCACTCAGCCTGTTCTGGTCCTTTAGACAGATGGCACTGGCTGTCATTAAACCTTGGGAGGGAAAAAGTATCCTTGTACCGAGATCCAAAAGAGCTGTTCCTATGGGATCAGACCAGTCTGCTCTTTTTTTTTTTTTTTTTTTTTAGGCAAGAGGAAGTGATATTCCCTTTCACCTAAGGATTTCTTTCTTTCTTTTTTTTTTTTTCCTCCGCATACAGGCCTCCCAGCCTCCTCAGGGGGCGTTGTCGCTCCGCGTGAAGGCTTCTCACAAGCGCTGCTTCTACAATTCAGCCCCCTCATGCCTCCCAAACCCGACTTTCACTCCTATATCAGTGTTTCCAAATGCTCTATTTTGTTTTATCTTTCAAACTTAAAAGTAACCAGGCCTCTGCCTTTGTTTGATGTTCATAAGCATGCTCTAAGACTAGTATTAGCCTGGCGTGCGACAAGAAATTGTAATCGGCGTGCCACAAGAGATTTTAAACCATGCAAATACCTGGCTAGTTAGTTAGTCAGGGGCATGACCACTTTTCCCTTAGGTTGTCCGATAAAAATAGACAACAGCCAACACAATGACAGATATCCGGTGTTAAAGAATCAACATTATACCTGTAGACAGCATTGCCAAGGCTGCCAGCCTCTCCCCCGGCCAGGCTGTGACAGTCTGTCTGCCTTTCCCCTACCTAGATACACCCGATTTCAGGGAAAGAGCCTGGACACACGTCCTCCCGGGGCACGCCTCGCCGGGCAGACGGAAGGTTCACTGGCCTCAGCCTCCCGCCACCCCGGGCCCTCCTCCTGCTCTCCCCAAGGCGCTCACCCGAGGCTGGTCCTTGGAGATGGGGAAGAAGCGGCGGTTGAAGCTATCGGCCACCAGAACGGCTTGTAGCGGCGGCGGCGGCTCCTCCTCCGCCGCTCGGGCTCCGCCACCGCCGCCGCCGCCTCCCCCCGGCCCGCAGGCACTGCGCTTGCTGGCCCGGCTGGGCATCGCACCCGGCGGCGCTGCCACAGGGGTCGCCATCTTCCTTCACGGCCACCACTTCCGCACGGAAGCTGACACCGCGCGCGGTAGGGGACAAAAAGGACCCGGGACTCAAAACGCGGAGGACTAAGCGAGGGGAGGGCGGGGAGGAAGGAGTGCGCATGCGCCTCGCCTGGGAGCCAGCCCTGGCCGAAGGCTCTGCAGTTTGGAGTCGGCTTGAGGCGCGGCCGGCCGCCGTGAACTTGACCTGTTGAAGCGCTGGGCTGGACCGCAGACTTGACCTACAAGTTTAGTAGGCCCTCATTTGTGCAAGATGAGATTCTTGTGGGATGATGAGACTTGAGGTCTCTGCGAAGGTGCCAGAGCTATTCTGGATATGTAATCTTCCCCGCCCCTAGCTTGTTAAAAATTGTAGTCTTCCGTCGTCATTCTACTCATGCAGTGTGGCCCGGCACCTTGGGGAGCTCCAGTCAGACACCCACTTCCCGCAGGGAGCTCAGTCTACATAAATACAGAACGTGATATATAGTAGGGCGAGCAGTCCTTCTCTTGAGCGCTGACTGTGGCCAGGTTCCACACAAGCATGATCTCAGTTCGCCACACGTCTCTGAAAGAACATAGTCGTTCAACAAACGTCTCTTGAACTCTATGAGGGGTGAGGATCACCCATCTAGTAAGTGGAAGAACTGGTATTGGAACCCGATCTGTCTGACTTCATAGTTCCACTTTTTTTTTTTGACTGTGAAATTTTTTTTATTAAATTATTATCTGTGTACATATCTTACCATTGCCCCCCTCCCATACATGCCCTCCTTCCCCAGAGTTTTGTGTCCATTGGTTGTACTTATATGCATGTATACAAATCCTTTGGTTGATCTCTTATCTCCCCCAGATCTCCCTACCCTCCCCGCTGTAATTTGACAGTCTGCTTGTTGCTTTACTGTCTCTATATCTATCTTTTGGTTCTTCAGTTTATAATGTTCTTTATCATCCATAAATAAGTGAGGTCATGTGGTGTCTCTCTTTCATTGACTGGCTTATTTTACTCAGCATGATGTTCTCCAATTCCATCCAGGTTGCTGCAAATGATAAGAATTCCTTCTTTTTTATGGCAGCTAGTTCCACATTTTTTTTTTCTGCCAAGTTTGGTGGGTGAAAAAAATTACTCTTTCATGATTTCTTCAATCATTCATTCAGTCATTCATTCAGCCTCTCAGCATTTATTGAAACCCTACTCTGTCTCCATCAGGGTGGAACTAGGGGTGGGTCCAAGAACATCATAAAGTTGAGGGGATATGGAGTAAAAGCAGCAAGCTTTGCAGGCAGAAGGGACCGTGAGCGCAAAGGTCCGAGGCGCCCACTGCTTGGGGAAGGAGGCGGTGGCTGCAGGGGGTGAGCAGGGGCTGCGGAAGTGCGAGGCCCCGGGGGCGCGAGGAGACGAGGGGAGCCAGCGGCGGCGTCACGCGGCGATTCAGGAGCTTTCTGACAAGGAACGCGCCCTTTCTGCAGGAGAACTGCCTGAATTCTAGATCCGCGGATCCGCGGATCTCAGCAAAGGCTGTTTCCTCCCACGCGCGCGTTGCACCTCGGGACTTGTAGTTCGAAGGGCTGACGTTGCTTCGACGTGGCGGTTGCCGCTGGACCGCGTTACCGAGGCCTCCTCCTCTGTCCCGTCTTCCCTCCGCTGGTTAAGGATAGCCCTGAGAGAAAACCATTTCTTAAGGATTTTGGAAAATTTAGCCTGGAGAAAGAGAGGCTGAAGGCAACTTGGAAACAGTTCTCACTTAAAATGAGTGTACATTGTAGAGGAAGGTGCTGACTGCCCTGCAAATCCCCAGGCGGAGAGAGCAAAGAAGGGTGATTATTAGATAGCACTAGTGATTGGCCTGTAGTGGGTGCGCGCGCATGGGTGGGAACAACCTTTGCTGGGATAGGGGTGGGGATGGGGTGGGGATAGGGTGTGGATGGGGTAGGGCTGGGGTGGGGATGGGATGGGGGTGGGGATGGGGGTGGGGTGTGGGAGCAGGTTCAATGACTCCTGAGACCTTGGAAAATGGTGATTGGTAAATTCAGGCCTTATTCTGTAGGCAAGGAGCTGATTAGATAAAGGTGTTTTTGTTTGTTTGTTAAAAATAATATTTCCCTTTATTTTAGAGACTAAACGTGCCCCTACAGGTGGGAGGGGGGGGGCGGTATTGAATCCCAAACCTGGGTATGTGCCCTAACTGGAACCCGCCATCTTTCTGTGTACAAGAAGACACCCCAACGACAGGGGCCAGGGCTGATTAGATACGGTTTTAATGGATGGTCTCTGGGAGAATCTCTCCCAACTTAATTTTTTGTTTGTTTATTTGTTTGTTTTAAAACTTAACCATAAAAAGCAAACAAATATGAGCAAATGTCTTAGGTAGTCATTTCTCCAAATATATATAAATGGCCAATAAGCACATGAAAAGATGCCCAACACTAAAAGTTAGGGTATTGAAAAATCAAAACTGCAGAGATATCACTTCATTAGGATGGCTGCTGTAAGAAAAACAGAGGATACCAAGTGTTGGTGGAGAAATTGGAACCCTTGTGCATTGTTGGTGGCAATGTAAAATGTTACAGAGGCTGTGGAAAACATGTAGGTGTAATTGTAGAAATTTTTTGTATGGTGGTTCTTCAAAATATAAAACGTAGACTTGCCATATGATCCAGCAATTCTACTTCTGGATATATACCCAAAATAAGGAAAACAAGCACTCAAACAAATATTTATTTTAAAATGTATTTTTGTTGATTTTAGAGAGAAAGGAAGAGAGAGATAAAAACATCAATGATGAGTGAAAATCATTGATCAGCTGCCTCTTGCACACCCCACACTGGGAATTGAACCTGCTACCCAGGCATGTGCTCTGACCAGGAATTGAACTGTGACCTTCTGGTTCATAGGTCAATGTGCAACCATTGAACCATGCCAGCCAGACTGAAACAGATATTTATATGCCCATGCTCATAGCAGTATTATTCACAATAGATAAAACATGGAAGCAACCCAAGTGTCCATTGATAGGTGAATGAATAAACAAAGTGTGGTATGTACATACAATGGAATATTATCCACCTCAAAAAGGAAGGAAATTCTGATTTAAGCTATAACATGGATGAAAATTGAGGATGTTATGCTAGGTGAAATAAGCTAGTCACAAAAAGACAAATATTGTATGATTCCATTTATATGAGGTATGTAGGGTAGTCAGACTCATATAGACAGATTGTAGAATGGTTGTTGCCAGGGGCTTGGGGAGAGGAGGAAATGAGGGTTGTTATTTAATGGGTAGAGTTTCAGTTTTGCAACATGAAAAGAGTTATATGGATAGATGGTGGTGATGGTAGCACAATAATGTAAATGTACTGAATGTCACTGAACTGCACACTTAAAAATGGTTAAAATAGTAAATTTTATGTTATATATATTTTACCACAATAAAAAATTTGGTAAAAGACTTACTGGAAAGATATTGAAAACCGACAATACATAATGACACACACACACACACAAACTATTGATATATAAGTAAATAAAAATCCCTTCCCCTACTTTTCATCCTACTCAACTCCTAGAGTTATAACCATCTATATCTCTACTAATAAAAGGGTATTATGCTAATTAGCCCAGATGTCTTCTGGACATCTATCCAGACAAAGCCACAGTGGCGGAGTCAGAGGCAGAGGCATTTTGGGGCAACCAGGCCGGCAGGGGAGGTCATTTAGGGGTGATCAGGCCAGCAGGCAGAGGTGGTTACGGACTATCAGGCAGGCAGGCAGATGGGGTTAGGGGCAACCAGGCAGGCAGGCAGATGAGTAGTTAGGAGCCAGCGATCCTGGATTGCGAGAGGGATGTCCACAGGGATTGGGCCTAAACAGGCAGTCAAACATCCTCCGAGGGGTCCCAGATTGGATAGGTGAAGGCCAGGTGAGGGACCTCTGCCCCCATGCATGAATTTCATACACCAGGCCTCTAGATATTAATAATTTGGTGGGTATTCTTTCCATTCCCCCCTGAAGTGTATATATTGACATACCTGTATTTATAAATATATATATGCCTAAACACACATATACCATATACACATATTAAAAATACATATATGGCCGAAACCGGTTTGGCTCAGTGGATAGAGCCTCAGCCTGCGGACTGAAAGGTCTTGGGTTCGATTCCAGTAAAGGGCACGTAACTTGGTTGCGGGCACATACCCAGTGTGGGGTGTGCAGGAGGCAACTGGTCGATGTTTCTCTCTCATCGACGTTTCTAACTCTATCCCTCTCAATTCCTCTCTGTGTAAAATCAATAAAACATATATATATAAAAATAAAAATACATATATGTAAACCCAGCTGATGTGGTAGTGGTTGAGCATCGACCTATGAGCCAGGAGGTCACAGTTCAATTCCTCGTCAGGGCATATGCCTGGGTTGCAGGCTCAAACCCTAGTAAATGACTACAGGAGGCATGCTGGAGGCAACCAATCAGTGATTCTCATCATTGATATTTCTCTCTTCCTCTCCCTTCCTCTCTGAAATCAATAAAAATATGTATAAAAAAACAAACAAAAAAAACCCCAAATGCATATATGTATATGTATATTCACAGAGAAACTTATGTTTATAGACAGTATACTAGATGATTATATGCTGGTACTCCAGAGTTCCTGAGTTGCATTCAAGGCTCTAGTCATTTACTAGGTGTTTAGCCTTGGGCAAATTATTTAATCTCTATGCATAGACTTCCTCATCTTTGAAATGGGATGATAATAATACCTAACCTTAAAAGATTGTGAGGATTACATGAGATAATATGTGAAAAGTTCTTAGAACACTGTTTGACACATTATCAACACAATTTAAGTGTTAGCTATTATGATGATGATGATGCATTTTGTCTGCAACTTATTTAATGTATAGTGGGATGTAGACAAATCTAGCTTTTTAAATGATTCTATTCTGTAGTATGAATATACCATTATTTATCCAGTTATTTCTTGATTAATAAACATAAAATATTTTTGCATTTTTTGCTATATATTATACATAGTACTGCAACAAACATACAAGCATCCTCCTGTTGCTCTCTTTATATATCTGCATTTATTTCTTTTTTTAAATTGACTTTTAGAGAGAGAAGAAGGGAAAGAGAGAGAACATTGATTTGTTGTTCCACTTATTTATGCATTCATTGGTTGATTCTTTTAAAAACATATTTTTATTTATTTCAGAGAAGAATGAAGAGGGAGGAGAGTAGGAGGAGGAAGAAGAGGAAGAGAAGGAGAGAGAGAGAGAGAGAGATATCAATGATGTGAGAGAAACATTCATCGGCTGCCTCCTCCATGCTCCTACTGGGCATCCAGCCTGCAACCCTGACTGGGAATCAAACCATTATCTCCTGATTCATAGGTTCACACTCAACTACTAAGCCATGTCAGCCAGGCTGGTTAATTCTTGTAAGTGCCCTGATTGGGGATTGAACCTGCAACCTTGGTGTATCAGGACAAACACCCTAATCAAATGAGCTATCCAGCCAAGGCCTGCATTTATTTCTTAGAATTCCTTTTTAAAGTAGAACTACTGGTTCAAATTGAATATAATTCCCACGTCAGAGGGTATGCTGTTGAACTCACTGGAAAGTCTGGGGAGGCTTAATTGTTTGTCTTACTATTTGATTGCTGTCCATGAAAAACGTGCCATTTTACCCTTACACCAGCAATGTATGAGCGTGCCTTTCAACAGAGTATGTTGTCAACAGTTTGGACTTTCTGTCAGTTTATAGGAAGAAAAAGTGTAGTTTTAATTTTAATTTAATTTGTATCTTGCTTTGACTGGGATTGAACATCTTTCTATGTTAAAAGACATTTGTATTTCCTTGCTCAACTAACTGTCAGTACTGGTTCTTTTTTTAAATTAATATGTCAGCATTAGGTTTCAAAAGGAGTCTTTTTTTTTCTTTTAAATATATTTTATTGATTTTATACAGAGAGGAAGGGAGAGAGATAGAGAGTCAGAAACATCGATGAGAGAGAGTCTTCGATCAGCTGCCTCTTGCACACCCCCTACTGGGGACGTGCCCGCAACCAAGGTACATGCCCTTGACCGGAATTGAACCCGGGACCCTTCAGTCCCCAAGCCGACGCTCTATCCATTGAGCCAAACCGGTCCCGGCAAAAGGAGTCTTGAATATCAGTCTAGATGTAAGCTCCGTGAAAATCAGGGCTTTCTGTCTGTTTTACTCACTACTGTATCCCATATGTCATCTGGCACATGCTTAATAAATATTTGCTGAATGAATGACTGCTTGTTGCTAGTCAGGAAATGTAATGAGAGTCTTATCAACTCTAGACAATAAATAAAAGTAATAAATAAAAGTAATTTCAGCCCTAGCCAGTTTGGCTCAATGGATAGAGCATTGGCCTATGAACTGAAGGATTCCAGGTTCGAATCTGGTCAAGGGCACATGCCCAGATTACAGGTTCGATCCCCAGTATGGGGCATGCAGGAGGCAGCCGATCAATGATTCTCTCTCATCATCATTGCTGTTTCTATCTATCTCTCCCTGTCCCTTCCTTTCTGAAATAAATAAAAATATATTTTAAATAAAATTAATTTCAGGCCCTCCCAAGCTGAAGCTCATGTTTTTTGGTTTTGGCTTTTAATTGTGGTAAAATACACATAAAAATTTATTATCACCATTTTTAAGTGTACAGTTTAGTAGTGTGAAGTACTGGCAACTGCTATCCTACTGTCTCTATGAATCTGAGTACTCCAAATACCTCACATAAGTGAAATCATATAATGCTTATTCTTTTGTTCCTTTACATAATATCCTCAAGATCCATCCATTTTTTAGCATATATCAGAATTTTTTTATTTTTAAGTCTGGATAATATTCCACTCTATGTATACTTTATATATTGTTCATTCATTTATCTACCAATGCACACTATTGTGGGTGGTAGGCGGGTGAGGGAGCAGCGGGGTCAAGCATGGCAGACCACATTTTCTCTATTCCCCTCTAGCCTCGCACCTGGATTCTGCCCCTGGGCTAAATCGGCAACATGAGCGGCAACAACTTGGATGAGAAAGATGACTTTGATGAGCAGTTGCGAATGCAAAAGTTGTATGGAGACACTAAGGATGGAGATACCCAGAAAGATCCCAGTGGAGAAACCGATTCTTTCAGGCAGCAGCCAGATGACACTCCCTATGAGTGGGACCTGGATAAGAAGGCTTGGTTCCCCAAGATCACTGAAGATTTCATTGCTGCATATCAGGCCAATTATGGCTTTTCTGATGATGGTGTGTCTAGGTCTACTGCAAATGTTCAAGATGTTAGTAGCAGGCCTGCAGAGGGAACTCCTCAAAGAAAGACCTCAGAACCCAGTGATCCCAAAAATAGGGGAGAAAAGAGAAAGGCTGAGTTAGGATGGTTTAATGTTGAAGAAGACAGAAATACAAATGTATATGTGTCTGGCTTGCCTTCAGATATTACACTAGATGAATTTATACAGCTCATGTCCAAGTTTGGCATTATTATGAGAGATCCTCAAACAGAAGAATTTAAAGTCAAGCTTTACAAAGACAATCGGGGAAATCTTAAAGGAGATGGGATTTGCTGTTATTTGAAGAGGGAATCTGTAGATCTTGCACTAAAACTTCTGGATGAAGATGAAATTAGAGGCCACAGATTACATGTCGAGGTGGCAAGGTTTCAGCTGAAGGGGGAATATGATGCCTCTAAGAAGAAGAAGAAGTGCAAGGACTACAAGAAAAAGCTGTCTCTGCAACAAAAGCAGCTGGACTGGAGACCTGAGAGAAGGGAAGGTCCATCCCGAATGTGCCATGAGCGAGTTGTCATCATCAAAAATATGTTTCATCCCGTGGATTTTGAGGATGACCCATTGGTGCTGAATGAGATTAGGGAAGATCTTCGCGTAGAGTGTTCCAAGTTTGGACAAATCAGGAAGCTCCTTCTGTTTGATAGACACCCAGGTGGTGTGGCCTCTGTGTCCTTCAGGAATCCAGAGGAAGCTGATTACTGTATTCAAACCCTTAACGGACGGTGGTTTGGTGGCCGACAAATCACTGCCCAAGTGTGGGATGGAACTACAGATTATCAGGTGGAGGAGACCACAAGAGAAAGGGAGGAAAGGTTGAAAGGATGGGATGCTTTTCTCAGTGCTCCCGAGGCCAATAAAGGTCTTGGGTGTTCAAATCTCATCTGTGATTCAGAAAGGGCAGGGCCTTCTAGGGTAAGGCATTTTCCAGAGCTCCCTAGCTCATCTAAAGTGAAGGCTCAAAAAGCTGCAACTCAACTGGAATTCGAAGAACCTATAGATGAAAAGTTTGGAAAAACAAAGGATGGGGTAGAATTTGAAGAAGATGCTAAAGAAAGTGACATCAAGGGAGAGGCTGAAGAATGCTACCCCCAAAAAGGATCTGAAGGAAAGTATAAGGAAGGCTGTCCCCAAAGAGATCGTAGAGACTACCTTGAAAGAGAGTCTGGAGAAGGTAGTCCCAGAAAAGAGTTGGAAGAGGTTAGTCCTAAAAAAGAGTCTAAAGTGAATGGCCCTGGAAGAGAACCCAAAAAGCAATTAAAAAAGGATTTTGAAGAGTATGGCTTTGAAAAGGAGTCTAAAGAAGATGGCCCCAACCTGGGGTCTGAAGAAGAGAATAGCCCCCAAAAGGAGTTTGAAGAAAATGAGTTGGAAAGAGAATCTGAAGAACACTGCTCTGAAAAGCTGTTTGAAGACGGCCCTGAAAAAGACTTAGAAGAAAATGGCCTCAAGAAAAAGTTTGATGAGAATGGCTCTGACAAGGAGTTTCATGAAAATGTGCTCGAAAAAGAGTTAGAAGAAAATGACTCTGAAAAATCAGAATTTGAAGATGACAACTCTGAAAAAGTGTTTGATGAGGAAGGCCCTGAGAGAGACTTTTACGAAGAATCAGATGAAATGGAAGGAGAAGGAGGTGCATATGAAGAAGTTTTTGATGAGGAGACTGATGAAAAAGAGGATGAAGAAGATGCAAATGAAAAGGGGCTTGTAGATGCTGATGAAAAGGAGGAAGAAGATGAGGCAGATGAAAAGATGTTTGAATATTCAGATGAAAAAGAAGATGAAGTAGATGCAAAGGAGGATGAAGAAGGTATAGATGGAAACATGTTCAAAGATGATGATTCCAATGAGTTGTTTGTAGAGGATTCCTGTGAGAAGTTGTTCGATGATTCTGATGAGAAAGGGATGGTGGGTGGTTTGGGGAATGCTCAGGAAGAAGGGGCCCTGTCCATAGGCAGCAGCTCTCTCCTCAGTAGTGATGATGATGATGATGATGATGATGACATTTAATCCCTTAAATTTGCTTCTGTGGGAAATTCCTCCACTACATTTTGCCTATGCTCTAGGGCAGTGGCTGGCAAACTCATTAGTCAACAGAGCCAAATATCATCAGTACAATTGAAATTTCTTCTGAGAGCCACATTTTTTAAAGTTAAACTTCTTCAAAATAGACTCGCCCAGGCCGTGGTATTTTGTGGAAGAGCCACACTCAAGGGGCCAAAGAGCTGCATGTGGCTCGAGAGCCGCAGTTTGCCTACCACGGCTCTAGGGGAATTACTAGTAGTGTTAATGAACATTGCTTAGTGATAGAATGCCATCAGATTAATGCATTGACTTTTCCGTTGTTACCCGTACTTAATGATCATAAATATTTGTTAATTGGCAGTTCAGGTAAAGCTTCATAGTCTAATGCAAGTAAACTGGATATTCATCCTTTGTTAGATTTGTTAAATTCATGCAGACTATTTTAAAAAGTATTCTGATGAAAGTTTGTGATATTCAAAAATAAAAAGTTCTTAATATGCAGAAACTGAAAATTGGACTTGAGTTTAATTACATTTAAAGTTTTTGCTATTTGCTTTATTCATATTTAAGTTTAGTTTTTTAAGGATCTGAAAAAATCCCATAGGATTCTCCTAGAGGGCATTTCTATGCTGTCCACCAACTTGCTCCAATCAACTGAGTCACTTAGCCAGGGCAGTTTTTTCTTTTGGTTGTTAAGTTGTAGAAATTCTTTTTAAAAAAATATTTTATTGATTTTTGACAGAGAGGAAGGGAGAGAGAGAGTTAGAAACATCAATAAGAGAGAAACATCAATCATCTACCTCCTGCACACCCCTTACTGGGGATGTGCCCACAACCAACGTACATGCCCTTGACCAGAATTGAACCTGGGACCCTTGAGTCTGCAGGCTGACACTCTATCCACTGAGCCAAACCAGTCAGGGCTGTAGAAATTCTTTATATATTTTTTATATATGAATTCCTTGTCAGATATATAATTTCTAAATATTTTCTCCAATTCTGTGGGTTTCCATTTTACTCTGTTGATAGTGTCCTTTGAAATTTTGATGAAGTCCAACTTATCCATTTTTTCTTTTGTTGTCTGTACTTTTGGTTCATGTCCAAGAAATCTTGCCAAATCTAATGTCATGAGGTTTTATTCTCATGACATGCTTTCTTTTAACTTTTGAATGGCACTTTTTTCATCTTCAGGTTTACTGATAAAAATGTCAAAATAATGGTATGTATGTCCCCTTCAGGGCACCCTTGATATGTGTACTGGATCTGGCCTTTTCCAGGTATCGCTAAAGAGGCAGGGCTCTGGTGATTGCATGCACCAAACTGATGGGCCAAAGCACTTTGAACGTAAATCTTAAGGCCTTTTGTGCTTCTCAGCTGAGCTCACTTGCGGCTGAGTGGTCAGAGTTGATTGTTTATTTCCATGAATGTTGTTTATTTTTTTAGTTACTTTTGGGCCTGGAGTTGTTCTGAAAGTTGAAGGTTCTTAATACACTATGGGGTAGCTGAGGTTTTTAATGTTCATGTCCTAGCTTTCCAGGAAATAACAGAAGAACTCTGAGCTCTCCTTTCTGTGTTTTTCTTTTTTTTTTTTTCTGGAATCTTCACTATCACATCATATGATATGCCTTGTCTTCGTAGACATAACAACCCTCTTGCCTGGTCTTCATAGATATAACAATCCTCTTTGTTTTCAGACTGAGAATTGATGAAAAATTATCCTTTAAACTTTTTTTTTAAGCCAAAATTACCCATTTGAAATTATATTTTCTTTTAAATATATATATATATATATATATATATATATATATATATATATATATATATATACATATACATACATACACACACACACACACACACACACACACACACACATATATATATATATTTTTTTACAGAGAGGAAGAGAGAGGGATAGAGAGTTAGAAACATCGAAGAGAGAGAATCATCGATCAGCCGCCTCTTGCACATCCCCCACCGGGATGTGCCCACAACCAAGGTACATACCCTTGACCAGAATGGAATCCCGGACATTTCAGTTCGCAGGCTGACGCTCTATCCACTGAGCCAAACCGGTTTCGGCTATCCTTTAAACTTTATAGTTCAGTTAAAACAGGTTGATTATTCAAAAGATACTTTACTCAAAAAATTTAAGGGAAGAGAAGAAGGGAAAAAAAAGCCTCAAAATGCAGTAATACTTTGATGCGGCCTTGCTAGGAAGCTGGAGGGTGGCTTGAGGAGTTAGACAACACTACCCCCTAGAGGACATTACTATGCTGTGCACCAACTTGCTCACCAATTGTCTTAGACTGTTCAGGTACCTTTTGATATAATGTTCCAAAGCTGTGAAGTAGATCAGCCATATCCATGATGTATATGGAGCCCTGTTGGAAAGAATTTGCCCCGGATAGTCTGAGACACAGGCTGGGTTTCTTAAAGAGAGCTTGAGCTTCCTAGATAGGGCTGGACTGGAGAGCCAATACGGTTCCTGAGATAGAATTGCCAAAAGAAAGAAAAGCATCAGCCTGAATATCAGGGTTTTCAATCCAGATGGAGCAGGGGTTGTAGGAACAGTGTGACACTGTGCCTTGGCCTTCTCTTTATCCAGCCTCCTCCAAGGAACACGTGTGTATGAAAGAGGAGAAGTAAGTAGGATGATGAACTATTTGCTCAGGATTATCCCAGAAGACAATGGCAGTCTGAGAAATGAAAGTCTGCATCCTGGACTCTAGCAAACTGGCATGGTTGGTCACCATACAAGAAAGTCACTAGGTGCCAAGAGTTATGCTGTGGAGCTCCCTCCTAAAGAGTTGACCAGTAGGATAACCAGTTTCCCCAATGGTGGCCACAGGATATTAGCAATGGTGGCCACAGGATGTTAACAACACAGTGGAACTTACTGCTGGCAGAACTGCAAAACAGCAAACACACACACACACACACACACACACACACACACACACAGATTAAAAACAGAGAGCTTGGCTGGTGTGTCTCATTTGGTTGGAGTGTGGTCCCGTACACTGAAGGGTCTTGGGTTCAATTCCTGTCTAGGACATATACTTAGGTTTCCAGGTGTGTGTGGGAGGCAATTGGTCAATGTTTTCCACATTGATTTCTCTCTCTCTCTCTCTCTCTCTCTCTCTCTCTCTCTCTCTCTCAAAAAATAAATGAACATGTCCTCAGGTGAAGAAAAAAAAGAAAAAAGAACCAGCACCCTAGCCGGTTTGACTCAGAGCATCAGTCTATGGACTGAAGGGTCTCAGGTTCGAGTCCAGTCAAGGGCACAAACAATGGTTGTGAGCTTGATTGCCAGTAGGGGTGTATAGGAGGCAGCCGGTTGATTATTCTCTCTCACATTAATGCTTTTCTCTCTCTTTCCCTCTCCCTTCCTCCCTCTGAAATCCATAAAAATATATAAAAAAGAAAATATGATAAAAATATATATGCAGCACCAAAAAAATTAATATACCTAGGGATAAACTTAACTATGGAGGTAAAAGACCTATATGCAGAAAAATACAGGACATTGAAAAAAGAGATAGAGGAAGACATAGACAGATAAAAGAACATACCATGTTCATGGATTGGTAGGATCAACATCATTAAAATGTCCATACTACCCAAAACAATCGATAGATTCAATGCACTCCCCATTAAAATACCAATGGCATATTTCACAGGCCTAGAAAGAACTCTCAAAAAATTCATCTGGAATAAAAAAAAGACCCTAAATAATCACAGCAATCCTGAGAAAGAAGTACAAAGTAGATGGGATCTCAATACCAGATTTCAAGCTGTATTACAAAGCCACTGTTCTCAAAACAGCCTGGTACTGGCACAAGAACAGACATATAGACCAATGGAATACAATAGAGAACGCAGATATCGACCCAAACCACTATGCTCAGTTAATATTTAACAATGCGGTACCATCTCACACCTGTCAGAATGGCCAACACCAACAAATCAACAAACGACAAGTATTGGCGAGGTTGTGGAGAAAAAGGAACCCTTGTGCACTGCTGGTGGGAATGCAGACTGGTGCAACCACTGTGGAGAACAGTGTGGAGTTTCCTCAAAAAACTGAAACTGGCCAAAACCGGTTTGGCTCAGTGGATAGAGCGTCGGCCTGTGGACTGAAAGGTCCCAGGTTCGATTCCTGTCAAGGGCATGTACCTTGGTTGCAGGCACATCCCCAGTAGGGGGTGTGCTAGAGGCAGCTGATCAATGATTCTCTCTCATCGATGTTTCTAACTCTCTATCCCTCTCTCTTCCTCTCTCTAAATAATCAATAAAAAACTGAAACTGGAACTCCCATTTGACCAGGTAATCCCACTCCTAAGAATATATCCCAAGAAACTAGAAACACCAATCAGAAAGGATATATGCACCCCTATGTTCATAGCAACACAATCTACAATAGCTAGAATTTGGAAACAGCCTAGGTGCCCGTCAGCAGATGATTGGATCAAAAACTATGGTACAACTACACAATGGAATACTATGCTGCCATAAAAAAGAAGGGATTCTCATCATTTGCAGCAACCTGGATGGAATTGGAGAACATCATGCTGAGTGAAATAAGCCAGTCAATGAAAGAGAAATACCACATGGCCTCACTCATTTATGGATATTAAAGAACATTATAAACTGACAAACCAAAAGTCAGATATAAAGACAGTAAAGCAACAAGCAGACTGTAAAATTACAGCAGGGAGAGTAGGGAGATCTGGGGGAGATAAGAGATCAACCAAAGGACTTGTATACATGCATATAAGTACAACCAATGGACACAAAACTCTGGGGAGGGAGGGTATGTCTGGGGGGGGGGCAATGTTAAAATATGTACACAGATAATAATTGAATAAAAAAAGAAAAAATATTTTACAAAGGAGTAAAAGACAGTCTCTTCAATAAATGGTGCTGGGAAAATTGGACAGATACATGCAAAAAAAAAAAAAAAAAAAAAAAAAAAAAAAAGAAACTAGACCACCAAATTACACCATACACAAAAATAAACTCAAAATAGATAAAGGATTTAAACATAAGAGAAG